AAGAATTACTCTTTCTTGGACATGTAGTCAACAAAGATGGAATGTCTCCCGATCCATCAACTATACAAAAAATCTTGAATTTTCCCCAACCACGTACTGTCAAAGGACTCCAATCATTCCTTGGATTAGCTGAATATTACTGAAAATTTGTTAAAGACTTTTTGCAAATTGCTACATCACTCTTCAAACTATTATGCAATAACATCACCTTTATTTGGACTATTGAACAAGAAGAAGCATTTAACAAACTTAAAACAACACTTATCACAGCACCAATCCTATTTTACAAAGAAATTTTACCTCTATACTGACGTCTCTGACTTTGGATATGGAGCAGTATTATCCCAAAAGAATAACCAAGAACGAGAACAAGTTATTTCTTATATAAGTACTATCTTGAAAATCTCTAAGAAAAACTATAGTACAACTGAGAAAGAAGCTGTTGCAATCGTTTGGACAGTAAAACAATTCCAATATTATCTTCTTGGAATTATATTTGAAATAATTACTGATCATAATGCTTTGAGATGGTTGTTCACTAAACAACAAAATCCTGGACCAAGAATTGCCCGCTGGATAACTCAAATGATGGAATATACCTTTATTGTTACTTACAGATACAGAAGAAAAAACTGAAATGCTGATGCATTATTTCGCATGTACTCCGAACAATAAACCATGAATTTAACAACATATTATAATCTTCTTCAATACCTGGAAAACAAAACTTTTGATAACCACATTCCGGAATTCCAACAACAACAAATTATTCAACAACCAAAACATTTTGTTGTACAAAATGGACTCTTATTCAAAATTAACTGACGAAAGAATGCTATACACACTCTTAGAGTTTTAAAAAAAATAAAATAGAATCAATTATGAAATATATGCATGAAGATCCACTTTCTGGACACTTTAGATATAATGAAACTTACCAACGAATTGTCATTAAATATTGATGGAATGGAATGAGAACTGATATTGTTATCATTTTTATTAATATTAAGTTCTTTGATATATTAATCATGTGTTTTATTAAGATAAGAGTGAAAAAGATTAAGTTTTTATATAATGAGAGAGACTAAGATTTATCACTACAGGTAGGTAACGTGTGTTTTTGTTATGATGAGCTAGAATGACATCCAATAACTTCACTAAGTTTTGTATATTATTTAAAATTTCAAAGGTGATAATAAGTTTTAAAAGTGACTGTCTTTTAAGTCAAATAACAATGTTTTATTATAAGCGATCTATCTTTCAAGATCAAAAACCAATACAAATATAACTTTATAAGTTATTAAAGTTTCTATCAAACAAGAAACTGATTAACTATCTAACTTGATTTACTTTCCAACTTGATTATTCTTCTAAGCTAAGATACATGGTATATTTATGTAAATTACATGTTATACAATATAATTGATTCTATTGTTGTTGTTGTTAAGTTAATTAAACACGAGTGTTATCAGTATTTCTGATATTAACACAAGTGTTATGAGTGTTTTTGGTGTTAACACGAGTGTTGATGTCATTGTCATCATTGTTGTTGTTGCTGATATTAACACAAACTTAAGAACTAATAATATCTAACATATAATTGTCCAATAAAATAATAACTATCTAAAAATAACTATCCAATAGAAATACTAATAAATATAATCCAATAATAATTAATATAAATCTTATCCAATAAGATTGTTCGTTAAATGTCATATCATGACAATATAAAATCATATTGCAAGTTATATATAGAAATTATATATTCAAATTATGTGATTTTAAATTCATCTAATAGAAATATAAATAATTAAATAATAAATAATTAATATTATTAATAAAAATATTAAATATTATAAAAATAATTAATTATCAATATAATAACTATGTTATAAAATATTTGGATCATAACAATAAATAATATTTCTTTTATTATAGATTTGCTTATTTTAACTTGATATTAGATATTAAACAAGTTATTATATAATTTACCTACTTTAACTTGATATATATTGAATAAATTATTAAATATTATAGATTTGCTTATTGTTAAATATTAAATGAGTTATTGTGAAATTTATTTACTTTAACTTAATATATATTGAGTGAATTATTAAGTAAGTCATTGTGAGATTCATCTACTTTAACTTAATAATATGTATTAAGTAAATTATTGAGTAAGTTATTAAATGAATTACTATAAGATTCACTTACTTTAACTTGATAATGTGTGTTAAATAAATTATTGAGTGAGTTATTGAATGAGTCATTGTGAGATTCATCTATTTTGACTTGATAATATATATTAAATAAATTATTAAATGAGTTATTAAACAAATCATTATGAGATTTATTTGTTTTAACTTAATAATATATATTAAGTAAGTTATTAACTGTGTTATTGCAGTAATAATTGATATTATAGTATTTTTTGACAAGATTACAATATTAAATAAAGCTTTAAATATTATTATTCAATATAATAATAATGTATTCATTCTTTAATACTTATATTTATCATTTTTCATGCTGAAAAATCATTAATTCTTATATTAATGATTGATCAAAATATATATATATATATAAAGTTTCTTGTGACTATTAATCTGAATTAATGATCAGATATTACATCTAAAATACTGTGACTAAACCTGAACAAATTTCATACATGCATAAAATTTAGATATTTTAATACTCTATTATCAACCTTTTTAATATCAATATCTCTTTAATATTAACATTTATTGCAGAATAAATTTCACTTGGACTAATATATTGATACTAACTTTAACCGCTGAGTTATCAATCCTCTTATATATCAACAAAAATGCCTAGTCCCATCATGTTGACAATAGAAAGAGTTGACTGTAATATATTTTACATTGATAATTAGTATTGGTAAAGTTATAGTTAATTCTCTCTAAATGCACACACTATGTTTCTATTTATAAATGCACATCTTGGTTCAGTTCCAAGTTAATAATATTACTAAGTAAAATGTTCTTTATAAATGCACTCTCAGATTTGATTTTCATATGTCTTCCGGCAATGTGCATTTAGAGAGTTGATTGTATTAAATTTAATTTTGAATCAACCTAGATTGATTTGGATTCCATTCCAACTTATAACAGTAATAAAAATTTTGAAAAATATACATTGTGAATCTTGCTTTATTCATTTTGCAGAAAAATAATCGTTTTACTAAAAAAAAATTGGACCGAGTTAATAAAAAATATTTATTGGGCTAATATGCAAGAACACTGTCTTTTCTTAAATGTCAAATTTGAATACCGAGGTCGCTTGGACGTAAATTTAATTGGTCAGAACAAGCATTTTGACCAATCAAATTGCTAAAAGCGACAACACTGGACTGAGTGTATGGATTTAGCTGATTAATGTGGCTTTTTCATAAATGGAGTAACTATAATTATTCTTCGCTATTGTTGTTTGGTTAGGAAAATAGACCCCTTGTAAATATTTCGTGTTCCAATTAAAAGAGTTAAATACAATTAGAAATTATATTATATTGTTAGTCTCAATATTTTTCTTCTCTTCCTTTTAGGTTTTCTTTCGCGTCCGCGCGTTTTCTTCACATCTCAAAATTATTTAAACTTTATACTATCCATAGTCACGAGAACAAAAATTTTGTCTTTCTCGTAAATAATATATTTAATTTTCTCTGAAAAGAATTTAACGATTTTTATCAGATTTATTTCTTCTGTTTTTTTATGACTAGAACAATAAAGAGGCCAGCGTTCTTATTCTTTGGTCGCGTGTCTCTTTTAAGAACATACTAAGAATATATTTTCATCATCAATATCAATAATAAATACAATAAACGAAGCAATAAGTGAAACGACCACCCGAATCAAATAACTTTATATATAATACGTTAAAGCTTCTGATATTGTCAACCTAAAAACTTATTTATTCTTCCAAGTAAACAGCCGTATACTCCTTAATCACTTCTCCTTTTTACTTGGTTTCTTATTTCTCTAGTGGTAAGCATTCTCTTAACTAAACGTTTTTTTTTATATTTGGTTTCGACACCAACTCTCTTGTTTAATAACAATTTGGACACTCGATTTTTTTCATCTTTATCAAGTTTGGAACAAATCCTTTCCGGACAGTAAAAAAAGGTAAAAGATAGATCTCAAGCTCTCAATTTTAGCGAAATTAAGTTTCGATTACTCCTTAAATTGAACATTCGTATGATTTCTCAAGTCGACATTAAATAGTTTTTTACTTTCTTTTTCGTAGATTTTATAGAATTAGAAATAGAATATACACAGAATATAGAGGAATTATTTAAAGTTAGAAATTATAGACTTTTTTTCCTAATTTCAATAAACTTTTTTAATTTTGCTGATTATATTAACACACTTTAACTAAATATCAAAAGAAAAAACATCCCGATCCCTATACTTACACATATTACTTTCCCTTTCCTTCCCTTTCCACAATCGTATTTCCCATCAATACGGGGTTCTTCTCAATCAACAATAATCAGGCAGAACTTGAACAATAATTTTAATGGCAGTTCACCCAATATCACAAACAGCCGCTCATCTTTTGCATCGTTCAAAAAAACTGGTGCTTAAACTTAATCGAAGATATCAACTTCACTACAACACAGAAACAGACAATACCGGTGACAACAGTGATCATCCCAGCAACAGCAATAACAACAATACCACTGCTGTTGCTACTACTAATACTATTATTAAAAATAATTCTCAAAAACCACATGAACAAGATGCTCAATCAATGTATCAACAGGGTGAAATATATTTATTTGGTAAATGTGGTGAATCACGTAATGAAAAAAGGGCTTTTGAATATTTTAAACGTGCAGCTACGATGAATCATACACAAGCACAAGGTGTATTAGCTTTTTGTTATGAATTTGGTCTAGGCGTGGAAAAGGACTTCAAACAAGCAGAATTACATTATATTTCAGCAGCTGAAAGTGGTAATGGCTTAGCACAAGCAAGACTTGCTTTCCTAAGAAAATACGGTCGACCATCAGTACGAATTGATCGCTCAGAAGCTGATATGTGGCAACAAAAAGTAAAAGAGCAAGGAAAAAGTGCAATTGGATGGTTATCATATGCTGCTTCCAAAGAAGATCATCCTGCCGCTCAATATTCTCTTGGGGTTTGTTATCATGATGGAGTTGGTGTTGAAAAGAATGAACATGAGGCCTTTAAATGGTATAAGAAATCAGCAGAACAGGGACATCCTCGTGGTCAAGGAATTCTTGGATTTTGTTATGGTGAAGGATTTGGTGTGGAAAAAGATGAATATGAAGCAATGAAATGGTATCGTAAAGCGGCTGAACAAGGTGAATCTGTCGCTATTTACAACGTTGGATATTGTTATGAAGACGGGATTGGCGTTGAAAAAGACGTGGTAGAAGCGGTAAAGTGGTATCGTCTTTCTGCTGAACAAGGAAATGCATTCGCTCAAAATTCTTTGGGCTATTGTTATGAAGATGGAATTGGTGTTGCTCAAGATCCCATGGAAGCTGCCAAATGGTATCGTAAATCTGCTGAACAAGGTTATCCTTGGGCAGAATGTAATTTGGGTTATTGTTATCAAAATGGTATCGGTGTACCAAAAGATGATGTTGAAGGTGCCTCCTGGTATAAGAAGGCAGCACTTCAGGGACACGCACGCGCTCAACATAATCTTGGCTTTTGTTATCAGAATGGGATTGGGGTGCCAAAAGATGAAGCAAAAGCTGTTGAATGGTACACAAAATCAGCTGAACGTGGAAATATTTTCGCTTTTCATTCTCTTGGCTACTGTTATCAGAATGGGATTGGAGTAGAAATTAACGAAGAAGAAGCAGTTTATTGGTATTTCATGTCTGCTGAACAGCAACATGCTCCTGCTCAATTAAGTCTCGGTTATTGTTTCAGAAATGGAATTGGTGTGGATAAAGATGAAAAAGAAGCCGTAAAATGGTTTACTTTTGCAGCAGAGCAAGGAAACGCGTTGGCACAAAATTCATTGGGTTATTGTTATGAAGAAGGACTCGGTGTAAAAAAAGATGAAGTTAAAGCTGTTTATTGGTATGAATTATCGGCAAAAGCACAAAATCCTTGGGCCCAATGTAATCTGGGATTTTGTTACGCTAATGGAATTGGTGTGGAAAAAGATGATTTGATGGCCGTAAAATGGTATCGTGCAGCTGCTGCACAAAATCATGCACGTGCACAGGATAAATTGGGTGTATGTTTACAATTAGGCATCGGATGTGAAAAAAATGAAGAACTTGCTTTTCAATATTTTCGACAAGCAGCCGAACAAGATCATCTTGCCGCCATGTATCATTTAGCCAATGCACTTGAGAAAGGAATTGGTTGTGAAATTGATTTGCAAGCAGCTACAATCTGGTTTGAGAAAGCTGCTAGTTCTGGGTGTAGAACAAGTTGTGAACGACTGAAACGCTTATTAGTGAAAGAATGCTTGGGTCAGGATGATCACATCGCTAGTCAATATATTTTTGGCTATTACGCAGCAGCCGCATAATCAATCCGAATTCAATAATTATATTGATTGTGCTGTTTTCATTTGTTAATTAAATTTTATATTATCGAATACTAGTAATAATCGAAATGCGTTTTCGTGCATATTTTATTCGCACTCTTGAACAATTTCCCTTTTTAATGCATATTATTTTACAATCTTTGTTCAATAATAATTAAATTCTTTTTAATGCATGATATTTTACAATTTGTGCAATAATAATTAAATTGCATCCATTCTTTTCTTACATTTTTTTTCAAAATCTTTTAAATAACATAGATTCCTTACACCATTTACTTATATACACTGACAATCTCCTGTATACATTTTCTTTTATTTTTCCTTCTTTCATATATTCCGGAAAAATAACGTACATAGTTTTTTTATTGCTTTTTTCTTTTCTTTTCTTTTTCTACATACACAAAGAAATGATGAGATGATGGTGTAGTCATTTGAGAATATATATATAATCGATATTTTCTCGATTATCCTTGTGTCTGTCAACGAACGAGTCTTTTCACTTCGAGTTCACGATAGACACGAGGTAAGAATGATTTAGTTTATTTGTGTATTATATTTTTTAACGTATTAATAATAATCGTCTTTTTTTTTATAGTAGGAAGATAAACTCCTTCCGTCGCTTACAATCTAAAGTAAATATTATTTCGTCAGTAATTAGACATCCTCCAAAACCATAGACTTTGATAGTTGACAAAAAGAATAGATGTATAAATAATAGGCGTACAAGTATATTTTGCATAAATAGTTTGTTTATTCTTCATTAAAATGGATATTAGTCTTAATGAATTCATTAGGATAATTCATTTATTGACATTTGCAATTGGTATAGAAAATTAAAAATGATTATATTATGATCATATTTCAACAAAAATGAATATGGGCGTCGTTAAAGGCACAAAGTAATCTAACATAATGAGGTAACAGTTTAATATTTTGTATAAATTTATGCAAATCTATCAAGAAAACAAATCTGCATACTTCAAAAAGCCATCCAAATCAATTTTAGCTGCCCTGGTTTCAGCCATAGCAATAGATTCCAGCACGTTTTGCACTTTTTGTTTTATGTTAAGTGGATCTTCTACCATCTATTTTGTCCGTATAGTGCACATTGTTTCCAGAATTAACATTGAATGGCCAAAAGAAAAATTTGTGAGTGATTTGCATGTTATACGTAAGCAAACTGATATGTCACTTTATTTACCATGTCATTAGTAGCACAATATGTTTTGTAATTGCTTTCAATCATTTGTAACACCGAAGTAGTTTTAAAGACAGCGGATAATGTCTAATTATTTTATATAATATTAAATAATTAACAAATTAATAATACTATTAATGAATAAAAGTAAAATTTAACCTTGTTTTTCCTGTTAAACGCAATTCGCAATAATCCATCCCACTCTGCAAAATCAACGGAGGGAGGAGGATTCCTCGGTTCCATTCTTACGACTGAAGCGTCTACTTGAGGTGGTGGCTTGAAATTATTTTTACCAACCTGTATACCATAAATATGATTGATTACATATAATTAATACGAGACTTTAATTTTATATATATACCTTCATTATGTGATCTATTTTAAAGAACATTTGAGCATTCACGCTGAGCCGACAATAAAGAGACTCTCCAGGCTTAGCAATTAGCCGTAAAGCAAATTCACGTTGAAACATGAGAACTGCACATCGAAAGAGAGGTCGATGTTCTAGAAATTTGAAAATCAAAGGCGAGGAAATCTATACATTGATAAATTAGTTAGTCTTGTTAAGAATGAACGTAGTTTTATCAATTAATTAATGAATTGTTAATATATCAGTTACCTGAAATGGTGTATTACTTATACATATATCGAAATAAGGCAATTCCGTCTTTATAACGTCACCTATTATGATTTCTAAACGTTTCTGTTCTGGTCTAATAAAATAAATAGGTCAATCGATCATTGTCAATAAAATAAATAGGATGCAAATTATCTCTTTATGTTTCCCAGAATTGCAATATACTCACTTTCCTTGTACACGTTTTGCCAGTTCAGCTGCAAGGCGCGGATCCATTTCCACAGCTACAACCTTTTTAGCCTTTTCTAATAATTTCATTGTCAAGTTACCAGTACCAGGACCCACTTCTAGTGCAACATCAGAAGTTCTCAGACCTGCCTTATTTCGATATGAATCACCAATTTCTTCAAAAAATGATGTTGCAAATGTATCGAAATTTACACTTTTAATTTTTTTACCTTATCCACTATTCCTTGAGCTATAAGCGGGTTTTTTAGTATATGTTGACCAAGCTCTTTATTAAATAAGGGACCAAATGCACGCATAGCGTTGTTTTTTGACGAGTAGGAGGCAACCTTTGAGGAGCTTTGAGCTTCTTTATGATCATAACCGAGTTTTTTTGACTTTATTTTTGGCATTTTGTAATAGAGATACAAGGGAACAAAAAGATAATGCCAATTTTTTGAAAAAGTGTTCAAGATTATCAATGTCATGTGAGCTCGTAAATTTCTGAATTTACGGTTTTCGCTTTTACACTGTACGTCCAAACTTGACAATGTTTAGAAACACATTTCAGGTTTGCTATTTCTTTAGAAATTAATTGTTCAACTGTAAATAATTTAATTAAAAGTATTTTGAATTTAACAAACTTTCAGTCCGGCTTTCTTTCTATTTTGTATAGTATTGGGTAAGTCCAGCAATGTTTTCCAGGCAACTTTTCGATTGTAAGAATACTTTAAATATAGGTTGTTCTTTGGAATCAAGCTCATTTAGTCTAGCCTATAATCAATTTTAAAACAAGCGTACTAGCTTATTTATAATAAAATTTTCTACTAAAAAAAACCCATCTCGGTAGAGGTTTGAGCAAGAATTTACTATTTTTATCTTTGTATATGAAAGTTTGATAATAATGTTGCTAACAGAAAAAAAATTTAATAAATAAAATCCCTCAAATCTTTATTGGCTCGCTAGCAACAAACCATTTCAATTATGGCACACAGAAACCGATTCAAAGTACGAAGAGAGTCACGTTATCCGCCTAACGGACGATGATATTCACTCATTAGTGATAGAAGTACTATCACCGAACGTGTCTACCACGTATATAACATGTCCTGCTCAACTAAATCGTACTCTCGGGATAAAACTGCCCATCCTTGTGCTTATTGTAAAGAATCTGAAAAAGTATTTCACATTTGAAGTGCAAATCATGGATGATAAAAATGTGAAGAGAAGATTTCGGGCGTCGAATTTTCAAGTAATCAATATTAAAACCTTTTGTCTTCAGAGTATACAAAAAATTGATTATATTCTAAGAAGAATGATTTGTTAGGCTATTACACGAGTCAAACCGTACATTTGTACAATGCCTATGCGACTCGATGATGGTTGGAATCAGATTCAATTCAACCTTGCGGATTTTACGCGACGTGCTTATAGCACGAATTACGTGGAAACATTGCGCGTGCAAATACATGCAAATTGCAGACTGAGAAGAGTTTATTTCGCAGATAGGGTCTATGCTGAAGAGGAATTACCTCCAGAGATGAAATTGTGGTTACCTGTTGACAGGCAAGATAGACAAGAATGATGATATGTTTATTACATTGCTTAATTACACTGAAAAGAAAATTAGATTTTTTTTAACACTCTGCAAGATCGAAAATACGAATATTAATTATTCAATACCACAAAGCAATACATTCGCGAGACGTTTCTATATATATAGGGATTATTTAGCGAAGAATTACACCAAGTTGTGTTTGAACCTCTTTCTGAACATCTAATTGTATTTGATTAATTTCCTCATTTGTTACATTCCTAAAAGAGATTATATTAACATAATATAATATGTATTATAAACAAACACAAACTTAATTCAAATATAATAATCTCAAACCTATCCATAGATCGATAAATAATTCTATAACATAAACTTCGCCTTTTCGAAATGGGATGTACAAATTCATCAATCTAATAAATTTCATATATTATAATGAATTGCATTTAACAAGAGTGTGAAAAATTTTGAGTAAAGAAAATGATTATTACCATTTTCGCGTCTTCTACCAAATCGCCGGCGATACTTCTCACAAGTTCACAAAAATTATTCTCGTGGAAACCTTTATTATTGTCCACCCAAAAACTGATATCTCTAGTGGAAGCGGGATACTTTGAAAAAGGTTTGAATTTTTTTATTTCATTGGTGGTAAATTGATCCAAGAATCGTGGGTCGTTTGACCAAAACAGTCGAATGTCAGGTATATCAAATAAAACCATTGCAATTCTTTCCAATCCAAGACCGAAAGCCCAGCCAATTTCATTCGGTCTTACTTTTGTAAGCGATGGATTATCATTATATATAGCAATGTGCATATCCAAAAAATCAAAGAGTATATATATATATACCGGAGAGAGAATGAGCATACTAATTAATTACCTGCTTTATTCATGAGATCTTGCAATATAACACCACATCCACATATTTCCAGCCATTTTCCTTGATATAACACTTCCATTTCCCAACTTGGACTCGTAAATGGAAAATAAGCATCGATCCAACGAACTTTTAATTCTTTCTCATCTTTAAACAATCTCTTTACCAACTCATTTAACGTGTGTTTGAGATGTAGACCAACTGAATTAGCCGCCTCAACAGGATGACAAAATTGTATTGGATTCTTTTGATTATTTGTTGATGTATCTGTGTCTGCTTCATTACTAATTAATACACAAGCTGAATTAAATTGTCCTATTTTAGTAATATCACATGATACTTGTTCTTTTGCTTCGGCGACATCGAAAACCTGAACACCTTCCATTTGATGGAATACTGGATAATGATTCGAATCAATTTCATCTCTTCGATAAACATCAGCGCTCACCAGAAATTTATTTTCACCTGCGGAAAGAATTTGAAGTTGATGTGCCGACGTGTGAGTACGTAGCATTACAGATCTGTTAATGTAATAACTGTCGGTTTTGTTTCTCCCGACATGGTCAATGGGAAATCCAAGATCATCAAAATTTTGTCGAGTGCTTACAATTGGACTGAACGAATTAAAATGTCGAAAATCATTGAGCTGAGTTTCAATTAAATTTCGTAATATTGAAATTGGATGTGATTGGTGTAAATGCAATTGTCTTTTAATCTTTGATAATATATTCGGAGTCACGTTTGTAAAATCATCTACCGGAAAAGATTGACCGTCTATTCGAATAGTGTCTGATGTTATTGTGAAGGACGCTTCTTTACGATATGATTTTTATTAATATTAGTGTGATTAATGTCACTATATTTTAGTGATGATGAAAATCAAAAATTTCAAACCATCTTTTGCATCGTTGCTCTTTAAATTTCCAGTTGTAAAATTCTTTCGATTGACATCAATAAAATTATGAAAATTTGATTTTATAAAATTATTACAATATCCGATTTTCCCAAACAAGTTAATATATCCTCTTCCTCCTCCCCTAGGTTTACAAATTCTACAAGACATCTTAAAATCTTATCAAATTGGCAATCCCAAAGATTAAACATATATCACGTGTGTTTCACTTTAATAATATATTCCATGGTCAAAATAATCGTGTACAACATCTAAATTTTAACATCTAAAAAATGGCCATACAACAAAAAGACCGAAATTTTTTGGCAGTCATCGGTGACGAGGTGAGTTACTTGCCGATCGCTAGGTCTTCATGTTTTTTAGCACCTCATTAATGTTATAAACAAACAGGATTCTGTAACTGGTCTTCTTCTCGCCGGTATCGGCCATGTTAATTCACAACAAAAGAAAAATTTTTTGGTTGTTGACGCAAGTAAGAACCGTTCTCTTGATGGGTTCTATCGAAATATCTTTTCAAAATTCGTATAACTTTTCCCACTCTTAATTATTAAGAACACTGTTCTTCTCAACCCCTTCCTTTGTTATCTAAACTTTATAATAGAGACTCCTCTTTCAAAGATAGAGGAAACCTTTTTAGAGTTCACAAAACGTAAAGACATTGCCATTATATTAATCAATCAACACGTTTGTGTTATTTAACTTTAATAAATCCTGATCTTGTTTCTTTTCTTAAAACTTTATCTTGACCACAAATCTGTCTTTAATGCTTTTTAGCTCGCTGATCTTATTCGGCCATTAGTCGATGACTACGATCAAGCATATCCGACTGTCTTGGAGATACCATCAAAAGATCATCCCTACGGTACTAATATTTTATTTAGAATCAACCAATATATAGAAAACCACTCATTTCTTAATTATTTTACTTTAGATCCAGAAAAAGATAGTGTGCTAAAACGAGTGCAACGAATTTTCGGTGAATAAACATAAATATACACATATTTAAAGTTCATAGAGGTGGCCACTTGTTTGTTCTTTGGATCGCTGGAAGATCATCTCTAATATTGATAGCATGAGTATGATAAAAAATCTTTATATTGTATTTATATATTTATTCTAATAATTGGACTAAATTATTTCAATTTAGATATTAGATTGCGCAATTACTTTTGCATTTATTTCTTATTTGATTTTAAATAACTTAAGTATTACATCTTATATATTGTAAGATGTACAGTCGGGATTCGATAAACTTTTAATTATATCGAACTCTCATTTTAACGTGACGAATTGATATAATGATGTTACTTTAAATTTTTTGAAACTATCATACAACCACGACATAGGAATAGTGGAACTCGAAACAATTAACATTAAAATTAATATTATAAAACGCACAATTCTGACAAGAGATAACCATTAAACAAATGATATTGAAAACAAATGATTGATACAGTATTAAAAACAATTGCTTTCTACTTTCTTCAAATCTAATTGCTAATTAAATTATCAATTATCTGAAACTCCAAGTAAATCTGCTTTTTAAGCCTATAATTTAACCTATTTTTAAATTATAGCTTTGCAATGAAAACAATTGTTTTTTATATTGTTAGTCAACCAATTATTAAATTCTAAACATTGAAATTTTAACAAATCTGTTAGACCAGGAATTTTGATATTTGTCAAAATGGATTTTGGCAAGCAATCTAATTAAAAACTTAGATTAAAAATTATTTTTTTATTTTACAATACCTGAATAAACTGTCATATGATAATCAATAAATAATTTATTTTGATCTATTAAAATGGATTTATTATAATTGTTTTTGAAATCAATTTTGATTTATAATAACTTACAAAAGTAATGCATTACTATTATTAAAACATAGTAAAATTAAAAATCTTATTTTCATTAAATCATTTTGCATTTAATTCAAAGAAAATATTCTACTTGCAAAATTTTTTATTAATTTAAATATAATAAAAAATTTTATATTTACTTTGTAATTAAAATATTTTTTTAAATTAAATACAAAATAATTTAATAAAATAAAATTTTTAATTTTATTATATTTTAATATATATATAAATTTTAAGAATTTCAAAAGTATTAATAAAATATAATAATTATAATACAAAATACTTAAAAAAATATTAATTGTTTTATTTTTGATTTCAAAAAACAAACAAAATTTAAATAAATTAAAAAATTAATATGATTATTATAAGATATATATTATTTGCTAAGTAATTTATTATAATAATCAATAAAATAACAAAATTAAACTTATAATTAACTAATAAAATTTAATTTAGCAATTATAAATTATGTTATTTGTTTTATTAATTATTATTTATATAAAAATAGTAAGCTTTAAATAAATATTAATTTAAAATAAATAATTATTTTAAGTTTAAGTTCTTACTAGTAATATTTTACTTGTAAATACATTATTATTTTCATGAATTATTTTCAAATCTTGAAATTACAAGTAGTAGATGCTTCTTCACTCTAAATAAGCTATTGATATTATTACTTTTAATTATTATTTTTAAACAGTTTCAATAAGTTTTGTTTGATTATATTTTGTAAGTGATAGTCTCAATAAGTCCAATTATTATTTTATTTTATTAGGCATTATCAATAAATTCTGTTATTCACTTTAAAACTATTTGTTAATTTCTTTAATTCTTTTTATCTTTTCACTTTATTTTTCTATTTATTTTTATTTTTTATAGATAATATTTAGTTAGTTTGTATACAAGCTACTATAGAAGATTTTTAAAATCTTTAGTGAATTTTATTAATTATAATTCATTCAGTTTTTGTTCTTTTATTGTTATGTTACTTTGTTAGTTCATTAATTTTAACAATTTTTGAATTAATGAGAACAATAAACATTGAAAAATAAATGAAAAATTATACAAATTCATTAATAAGAAAATACAAAAGAAAATTAATTATAATTTTAGTGATTAAAGATAAGAAAAAACAAGAGTTTGAGCAAAAAAAAGTATTATAAAGAAAAAAAATAATAATACAAATATGATTATAAATAATTATATCAAAGAAATTAAAAGATAAAAAGAATAATTATAACAAGAGTGAAAAAGAAAATAAAATAAATATATGAATAATTAGTTAAAAATAATGAAATAAAAAGATAAAAATAAGTGTGATAAAAATATAGATGAAATAAATCAATGATAAAAATATAAGTTTTATAGTAAAAAATACAAGAATAAATAAATTTAGTGCAACAGTAAAAGAAAATAAAACAAAAAATATACAAAAATGTGATTAATATTTAGATATTATAATTTAGATATCAAAAAGGTAATGATATATACTAAATATAATTATATAATAGGATACAATATAAAAATAAAGAGATAAATTAATTTAATCATCATTGAGTTACATGATGTAATATTAATGTTCTTTGTAATATATCTTAATTTTTGTTGCTCAATAATTAAGTAATTACAAATTTTTTTGTGAAATGATAATATTATATTTCTTTTAAAGAAATCTGAGCTTTAGTAAAGATATTAAATACTTTTCAAGACTTCTTCAAACTCATTTTTTAAAAGACTTTCAATTTGAAATGGAGTGATATTTATGTCTTTTTCAAGTCTTTTAAACTGATTTTGTTGAATATCTACCAAGTACACTTAGCAATCTCAGGTGTGTATTCATGATTCAGGTTTTGTACTTCTTTTCCAAGTCATACTTTAGTGTTATTAATCTTTTTTTAAATTCATTTGGTAAAGTTTTCCAAGTTGATAGTATTTTTGTAATTGAGTAGCATTAAGATTGTAATCTTTAATTATATTTTTTATTACTCAAATTACTTGAATTTTTTATTCAAGATTATAATTTAATTGATAGAGTGGAGGTACAGGGTGAATATCTCCATCATACAATATCTCAGTTATTATCTCTTCAATTCTTATATAAGATTGAATTTGTTATTAACTGTAATATAGTGTATAGTATAGATATATTATTATCTATTTGTTTCATTAATAACAAATTGTTGTAAAAAAATTTTAATAGTATCATCAAAATTTTGTTTTTCTAAAGTGTGAAAGATTTTTATAATAGAATCAATTATTTCTTTAGTAAGATATGGCAATAAATCTGTTATTTTATGAAATGGATAGTTTTTTTTTATCAAAATGATATTGTAGAATTTTTATTTATATCTTTTTAGAAATTGATTAACTTATTGTTTCATCCAATAACTTTTGATTCTATTTAGGTGTTAATTAAGAACTATATAATCATCATATTGATTTCATACTAATGTTGATTAATTTTAGTATTCTTTTATGATTTAAAGTAATTTTTAAGATCATGATATATTTTGAGTTATTTTTCATTTATGAGTTGTTTAATAAGTTGATCTTGTTGATTTCTAAGTCAATATATTTCATTTTTGAGATTATCATGAATATAATATTATTTTGGCTTCCATTGTGATCAAAATTTGTTCCCATGAGTTATATATTGCTTTATATTATATAACAAAACTTTATTATCAATTTGAAATTCTTTTATGTATTAAATTTTTAAATTATGTCTTTCTTTGACTTTTTGTTATTTTTCAAGTGTATTAATCATGATTTTATTTTGTATTATAGTTAACTTGTCACTTACACTAAAAATTTAATATAATATTTGATCTTCAATTAAATTTTCTACTGATTGTATTTCTTCTATTAGAAATCTTGCATCTTTTCCATAAGTAAGAAAGAAAGATTCATGTTTTGTTGTTGAGTTTCTAAGTGTTTTATAAATGAATAGAATAGTTATAATATATTAATCTCATTTATTTTCAAAAGTAATACAATATTTTTGAAGTACTGAGCATATTGTTCTATTAAATTTTTTAATAATTCTATTTGTTTGTGAATGATATAGTGAAGAAACTTCCATTTAATATTGTTATTGTTCTGATATTGATAGGCAAGATATTAACTAATTATAATAATTAATTAAGAATTATATAAGAGTGATAATAGTGACTATATTGTTACTGTTTTGAGCTTTTACATATGAAAGTATTTCAAAATGGCAATAGTGACTGTGTTTACAGCAATTTACTTTGAATATTATAACTAAAATGATGTTTATGACGATAAAT